CTGAAACGACGAGTCGGTGCCGGGGCGCATTCTGCACCCGCCGTGCGCACCGACTCTCCACCCCGCGCCGGCTCAGACGTGGAAGCCGTTGGCCAGCTCAAGGAGGTGGTCCGCCGCCTCCGTCGTGGCATATTCGAGGTCCTGCGCCGATCGGGCGAAGATGGAGAGTATCTCGTCGGTCGGCGTGGAGACCCTGTGCCATCCCTCGGCCGTCGCCCTGCTGAAGTCGTCTCTGGAGACTGCGTCGGCGACGTTGGCCTTGGAGGGAACTCGCTCAAACTCGACGAACCACCCCTGGTGCGCCGCAAGCGTCCAGAAGGCTGAAATCATGCCGTTCACCGCGACGTCTTTCCCGTATCCCTTTGTAAGGGCTGCCTGTCCGGCGGTATTGTCGATGAAGGCTACGATGGCCGGCGGCAGACGGGCGCCGAAGGTGACGAAGGCGACGAGCTGGGCCAGCACTTCGAGCATGTAGATGTAGGCCTTCCTCGTCGAGAAGAGCTTGACAAACCATTCCGGCGCGACGCCGTGGTCGAAGAAGACCTGGTCGCCGATTCTTAGCACATATCCCCATCCATTCGCCGCCTTCTTCGTCGGCCGTACCCCCTGGGGTACGTGGCCGGCCTTGTGCCTGGTCTCCCCGTCGGTGAAGAAGGCGTCGGCGTACAGGATCGCGACCTCCATCTCCTTGGCGTCGAACGGAATGAATCTGGGGCGGATCGTCGGCAAGATCCTGGCCAAGGAGCGTAGGGCCGCCGAGAGACCGTCGGACAGGGAGTCCGCCGTCCATGCCGCTGTGTCGGCTGCTCGGGCGTAGATCGCCTTCGTCGCGGCCCTTGCGACGGATCCGAACGCCGCTTGTGTCAAGAATGACACACGTCCGGCGAGCTTGGCAGCCTCGGCTGGTGACAGTGTATCCTGGTCGAGTGCCCGGCGGATCTGTTCCATGATCTTTTCTACCCGGATCGTCGTCGGTTTCAGGGTGACTCCCCGTGCGTCGACCTGGAACTCCACGCCCTGCACAGTGTGGTTCTTCGCCGGGTGCTGTGCCTTCGACGCCTTGGTGAGGAAGCCCAGCGCCGAGAAGAGGTCCTGGAACGAGACCATCGCCGACTCGCCGAGGAGGGCGTCGTCGAGGCCGTTAAAGTCGTCCACGTAGTGACCCGTCGCCAGGAGCAGCAATCCCCTGAGCAGCTGCTGAAGTGCGTCGGCTCCCCTGTTAAAATTCCAGACGGACGCCGTAGCGCCGAAATTCATAGCCAGGTGGTACCAAAAGGTCACGCCGTGCTTGGTCGAGAGGAAGGTGCCGCACTCCGCCGGTCGTCGAACCGGCCACTGTCGGTAAGCGTTGAGCAGGTCGTTGCCAAAGACCACGACGTCGGGGGTGTCCTGGACCATGCGTCGTGCCAGGTCGACGAAGCTGCCGATGAAGTGGTGCGTCGGCACGTCGTCCACCGACACCGTGGCGTTGTGCCCGCTGCGACGCCAGTCCTCGGCACGTCGTACCTTTAGGTCGCCTTTCTCGTCGGTCTGGCAGACTGGAAAGGATCCTGCCAAGAAGTGTTCGCCGGGCGGCGGTTCGACCAGGGTGTCCACCTCGATCTGGTCGGGCACCGCCGTGGCCTTGGTGTGCAGCCATGTCGGCGCTGTCGTTGGGCCGATGACTCTGCCCAGCTTCTTCTCGGCGATGAGCTCCTGGAGCAGCTGATCGGCGAATTCACCGCCGTCGTGCTGGGAGACCTTGCGGCGGACGTACTCTGCGTTGGTCCGGCGGAAGGTGTCCATGTCCGTCGGGTGCTGGTAGCGTCCGTCGTCTCTTTTCCTCCATCCTGGTCCTGGCCGGATGTCGCCGATCATCTGGAAGCCCTCCGTCATGTCGTGTTCGAGGGCGTCGATGTCGGGGTAGTCGACGAGGCGGAGCAGCTGTATGAAGACAAGCACCTGCGTCGGGGCCGGCTTGTCCGGCGTCGAGTACGTGGCTCTGACCCATGATGATCTGGCGGCGAGCCACTCCCTGGTCTCGTCGGCTGTGTCCTCGATCATGGTACGGACCTCGTCGACGACTTCCCTTCGAATCCTGACCAGGTCGTGGCGCCAAGTTCGACGGATGACCATGGACCAGGAGTCGCTCCACGCCGGTTCCAGTGGGGCGTCGTCCGCCAGTGGGTGTGACATCGACCATGATGCGTCCCAGTGCGCCTGCTCGTCGAGGTCCTGGATGTCTGCCACGCCTGGCCGCGGCGGGGCTGGTGCCATGATCGGACCGCCGGGTCCCCACAACGACGCCACCCACTGTAACGTCGATCGGCTAGGTGATCTTGGTACTGGGGTCGCCGTCGTCGGCGCCGTGGCTGTGAAGACCAACAGCGCCATTAGGAGACGTCGTGCGACTCCCCAGTGCCAGCCGTTGCCGAGGAGGCGATGTCGAGTGCGATCGTCGAGTGCTCCGGCGGTGGATCTCGCCGTGTAGTCGGCCGGCATGTGGTGAAGCTGCTCTTTCACCTTCGGCGGCAGTAGATGTAGTCGACCTTGGTCGTCGGTCATCATGGCGTCTCTGGCGTAGTGCCACGGCGCAAATTGCCGTCCGCCGGTGAGCCACCGCTGGTGGGTGTCCGACGTGATCTTCCCTCTCGTCGACCTTGGTGCCGCTCTGCCTCCCTCGTCGGCTGCTGACATGGCAGCCTGACCCTGCCACTGGCGACGGGGTCCGAGAACTTGAGGCCGTCGAGGTCGAAGTCGTCGACTGCTGCCCTGGGAGAGTCCAGCCGGAGTCTGTTCCAGCGACGGTGTAGAGCCCATGTCCAATGTTCTCCCGTCGAGGGGTCGCGAGGCAACTCCTCCCAGTCGATCGTCGACCACCAGAGGCGGGACCTCCCGATCCACCCGAAGTCGGCGGCGTCGGTGAGGATGGGTTCGCACTCCAGTGCCTTGGTGGCCGCCGCTGCATCTGCCTGCGTCATCTCGACGTTTTCGACCAATTTCCCAAGCCGTCGAGGTGCGATCAGCGGTGTCAGCTCGGCGACGAACTCGGCCGTAAAGTTGAAGAGGTAGCCTCTATCACCGCCGTGACCCGCTCTGTCGCCGATTCTGGAGAAATCTTGGCACGGCGGAGCGGCGAGGAACAGGATGATGCACTGGGCGTCGGGGTCGACCGCCTCTATGTCCTTGACCAGGGCCTTCGGCGTGTCCTCCGTGATGTCGCCGCGGTGCCGGACGTCGGGGATGTGGTAGTCAGTCACCTGGATCGCCGCTCGGTCCACCTCCCATGAGAAGACCGCTCTGGGCTGGCCCACCAGGTCCCACACCAGCCACGGGCCTGCGCCGACACCGTCGAACGCCGACAGCACGATCACCTCGTCGCCTTTAGGTCGACGGCCTGAGAGCTTCACTTTCTTGGTCGGTGGGTCGGGTACCCCGTCGTCAGCGGGGGCGTTCGACGGGGCCCCGTGCTGTCCCTAACGGCGGTTGCCGCGGCCTTGGCCGTTGCCGCGCCATGGGCGTTGGCCTTCTGACTGGCTGGACTGTCCGCCGTTGCCGCCGTGCCACCACTGTTGGTTCTTTCCGTCGGTCTTCTGCTGCCACCAGCCGGCGTTGGTGTCCTGCTCGTTCTTCTTGCCGCCGCCCTGGGATTGATCTTTGCCGCCGCGTCCGCGCCCTCGGCCACGGCCCCCTTGACGTCGTCGTTTGCGGCCACCGCGACCGCCGCCTCCGGTCCATGCCTGCTGGTCGTCGGCGTCCTCCTCCTGGCCGTTGGGGGCGTCGGTGCGGTCGGCGATCTCCTTCGGCGTGGATAGAAGGATCTCCTGCCACGTGGCCACGTCGTCCATGATCTCCTTGGTGGCCTCGCCGAAGGACCTGTTGTTCCTTAGTGCCATCGCCAGGTTCCACGACGTCCGCTGCCAGTATGCCTGGAGGGCTGCGACGTGGTTGGACTTATCCCTGGCGCGGGCGACGAACCAGTCGACATATGTCATGACGTCGGTCTCCTCGCCGATGCCCAGCAGGATCCATGCCCACCGGGCGGCGTCGGCACCGTCGATAGTCGAGAAGAGGCCCTTGGGTACCCACTCCGTCGGCTCCTCCTGGAGCAGGAGGCCATGTTCCAGCCGCAGCGCCTTGGAGCTGGCGGCGGACGTCGACCTGGACAGCGCCAAGGGGTTCAAGGTCCGGGCCGCCGTCCAGGTGCGTCTTGACACGATCTCGCCGAGGGTAACCGGCGTATACATCTTGGAGGTGGTGTGCTCGAACCACATCCTGGCCAGCACCTCCTCGGCGCCAAGAAGCTCATGTGCTGGGAAGGTCCGCCGTTTCCCGTCGAGGCGCCGCTCCTCATAGATGTTGACCTGCTGGTTCCACGCCGAGAAGGTCTTGGGAGGCCTGTCAGGAATAGCCGGCGTGGCCGTCGTTGGCGGTGCCGCCGCCGGCGCAGGCATGGCCGCCGGGGCTGGGACCGGCGCCGACGCAGCTGCCGTCCATTGGCGTGTGGCCTCGACGAACAGGTGGGTCATGATCGCCGTGGCCACATCGTCCTGTCCGTCCTCCACCTTGTGATCGGTGCCGTCGATGCGGGTGCCGGCGATGTACGGGTGGATGATGTGCGTCGTGAACCTCTCGACGTCCTTGGCGATCAGGGCCAATGTGGGCGTCGTGGTGATCTTCCGGGCCGTGATGTAGTTCTTGATGCTGTCGTTGGCGCCGGCCGCGGCGAGGAGGTCGTCCAGCTGCACCATCGAGGCCGCGACCGTCGGGAGTGCCATGGCAAACAACACCTACGGCGTCCTAGGTCGGTTCCCGTGCTCGATGGAAAAGGGCTACGGGTGAGACATCCGTCGGTAAGTTCCGGGCGCGAGCCCTCGACGGTGATCTGATCTGGGCTGTGTGTGGTTTTCCTGGGTCGTCGTCCAGTTGGTGCCATAGCCGTCGGGGCCGCACACGGCTATTGCCGGCGACCCCTCGGCGGAAAATGGTGACGGCGATCCGTCGGTCAAGCCCGGCGTCGCTCAGTCGGAGTCCGACGTCGCTCCGCTAGTGGAGGACGAGGAGCTCGACGACGAGTCGATCGCCTCCGGTGCCTCAACGTCGACGGTTTCCGTCGGGAAGCACTTGCGGCATAAGGCCGGATCCGGCGGCAGCTCAGACAGGCGAAAGAACTGTCGCACGCCGTAAGGCCAGCCGCACTTGGCCTGCCAGTCCGATCTTTCTGTCGACGCTTCGTCGACCCCCGGCTTGTGCACCATTTTGGTGCGGCAGTTCATGACATACCGGGGCGCCGAGTCGCCGATCGCGTCGGCTACTGGCATCCTGGCGGGTTCTGGCACGAACTCCACGCCGGGCACCTCTGCCGCGAAGTCGACGTTGGGCACCATCTGCTGCGAGGCCGGCGCCGCCGTATCGGCGTGCCCGGCTGCGTTCCCCGTCGGCAACAAGTGGGCCGGCGTCGTTGTCGACGTACTCGGCGCTGGCTGGAACGCCGGCTGCCACGGCGAGGGGTGCCTGTTGAACATACCGTTCGACGGCGGTGGATGCCCATCGGCCGAGCAGCTGGATCACGGCGACCGGGACCCCCCTCATCGCCAGGAAGGTCGCACCTGCCACTCTGGCGGCGTGGCCGCCGAAGATCAAGCGGCGCTTGCCCTGTTCGTCGAGGTACACCGTCTCGAAGCCGGCGGCGTCCAGCACCAGCCGAAACATCTCGGCTGACTCCGCCTTGGATCTCTGCACCGTCGGTCTGGTCGGAAACAGGAAGTCGGCCGGCGTCGCAGCCGCGGATGCCTGGATCCGCCGAAGGTGGCGGTGTGCGGCGCACCTTGGGCAAAGTGGGTGGGCCGTCGAAGTGCAAACGCACCGGAATGTGCGTCGTGTGAGATCGGCCTGCCCCCCCTGCGCCGTTTTGTGCAGGGGTATGTCGAGCGACACCGCCGACAGGGTCACGGCGAGATCTCTGACCCGGGCCGCCGCGAGCTCCACCTCCCTCAGCATAAACCAAGTGGCGACGATAACGACATCGACGGCGTGAGCAACCAAGCCGGCGTTGAAGGGCCCGAACGGTGCCGTGTCGTCGACCAACTTGGAGAGCTCGTCGAGGTCGAATGCCTGTTTAAGCCTGGACCCCGGCAGGCCCCTCGCCGCTGCCTTGGTCAGGGTCTTGACCACCCGTCGGAGTCCAGGGGTGACCGGCGTATGGAGGGTGTTCTCCTGATGCCATACCACCGCGTCGAGGTACAGCCCAGTCTTCATGGCCCCGGCGATGGTGTGAAGCTTGTGGGCGTCGAGCGGGAAGAGGGGAAACTGGCCTCTGTCGGCCAGGGCGCTCACCGTCCTCACTCGCGACTCCATGGCCCGGCGGGTCGACGATGCCAGCAGATTGGCGTCGATGGCGGCGAGGGTGTCTTGGCGTCGCCCGGGGTCCATGGCCTCCAAAGCCGCCGTCAATGATGCCCGCGGTAGGGTCCTTCTGTGCGGTACGTCGTGCCTGGGCGGCCTGGCCGCCGTTGGTTCTGGCTGCGTCGGCGGCACCGGCGCAAGGATCTGTAGCAAGAGGCCCTCGGGCACGCCGTTCTCCAAAAGGACGGCGAAGGAATCCCTCACGGCCGGCGTGTTGATCGCGCCGAACCTGGCCAGGGTAGCGATATAGGCCGAACCTCCTGCCGAGGCGACGTCGCGAAAGAAGTCGGCGACAGTCGCGGAGGGTCCCGACGATGCGGCTGGTTGGTTCATGACCGGCGCCCTGAGTCGGGTAATGCAGGGGGGTCAGTGCAAGTCGGCGTCTCGAGCCAGAGCAGAAAAAGGCTGCGGCGGAAGCAGAAAAGGCAACGGCGACGACCGAAAACGAACGAAGAGAGAGAGAGAGGCCGACAGCGACGGCAGGCGCGACGGACGAGGCAACAGGTGCACGGCGCTCTTTTTCCAGGTGCGTCGGGCTCCGCCAAAAGGCACCGTGCGGCGTGAGCGCCGAGATTAAGCAACTCTGGCAACGACGAAGTCGTCGAAAAAGTAAGTGGTACAGGGCGGCGGTGGGCTCTGATCCTGCCCCCGCCGCCGTCGACTGCCTCAGCGGCGCCGACCCGATGGCCGAAGTCGGGTGACAGGGGCACCCGCTGGCGTCGTAAAAGATCAGTCCTGAGCGCCGACCATGCCGTGGCATGCGGCGCACTCGTGACCGATATGGTCACGGCCGTTGCCCTCCACGACGGGACGTAGACAGCGGCCTAGGCCCGGCGTGTCTACGTCGTACAGGTCGTCGAGGTGAGGGCAATGCGGCGACGTGCAAGGGTGCGAGCACCAACCAAGCACACGTCGGCCGGCCTCCTGGCTTTGCCAAGGAATCCGGGCGCCGCGTGTGTTGGCGGGTAGCGTCGAGCAGAACCAGTATGCACAGTAAGTGGGCGCCGAGGTCGGCGGGGGTTTCGGCTTGTGCCCGTCGATGCCCTGCCTGTCCAGGTTCTCCTCGGCGATCACGTCGATCAAGGTCCGCCTGAGCAAGTGCTTGACCGACTTCGGCGGCTCGTCGACGGCTCGAGCGCCTCGGCGATGCATGGCCCGCTTGTGCTGCCGATAGTCGTCGGTCATGTTGATCTCTATCTGGCGGATCCTCTCGTCGCTCAGGTGCTCGCGGAACCCCGCTGCCGTCTTGGACCTGGACCGTGCCCCCGTCGGTGTCGTCGTCCTTGTGGTGGCGGGGCCGGGCGCGGCCGTCGAGCTGTCGTCCTGGTCCGCCGGCCTCGCCCCTGGCGGGAACATCCAATCCGGGCGGTCTTGTGCCACCGCCGGCGGTGTGGGAGCCCGTCGTGTAGTCTGCCTCGGGCTTGGCGGCGTTGACTGCCATGGCGTCGAAGCAGCTGACAACGGCGGGAACGACGACCTGCCTGGGGGTGTGTCTGCCACCGGCGGTGGAGGCGGTGGGTCCATGGCCGGGCGCCCACCGCGCTGCGGCGATCTTCCCCGTGTCGTCGAGCTCAGGCTTCCAGCCGTCGAGACGGCGTCGTCGTCCGTCCTCGGCGCCACCTCAGGGGCATGCTTGCCGCCATGGTCACGACGTCATCTGCTGCGCCATCGCCCGCCGTGGTGGCCGGCGTGTGAGCCCCAGTGGCGATGTCGGGCCGTCGTGCTCCGGCTGGTGGCGCTCTGGTGCGGCGGCCAGCCGCGTCGAAGTAGAAGGCAGGTGTCGCCGTCCCTGAGGGCATCGCCGACTGTGCCTCCATTTCGGCGAGCCGGGGAAACCCACAACGGTCGGCGATGCAGTCGTCTCTGGCTCCCTAGCCTCCGTCGGATCCAAGAAGGCTGCTGCGGTCCTTGTCGTCGAGGAGGTAGGTGCGTCGAGGAACACCATGCCCGAGACTTGATCTGCGTCTCTTGCCGTCGCATGCGGCGGAGGGTGCCACTGCACTTGGCTGGCCCACGCCGTGGGCGGTGCCCCGACGTGCTGCTGCAAGACGGTTGCCGTCGGTGAGCTGCTGGGACCCGTCGATGAAGTCGGCATAGCTGGTGCCGTCGATGAGCTCCCGGGGGCCGTCGAGGTCGGCGTTGTAGTGCCACTGCCCGGCGGTGGGGTCGGCGCAGCCTTCACCTGGATCAGCCCGTCCGCCGTCGGCGTCCTCTGCGGGAAGAGGCGCCCCATGTACATCTGGCGTTCCTCCTCCGTCGGTGGGTTCGTCGGGGGAACCACCGACATCACGGCGAGGAGCTCGGCGAGGGCCGTCCTGTCCTCCATCCCCAGGTTCGCCGCCAGCTCTGCCCACGCCCCAAAGCCACTCTCCCTTCCCCGTCGAAGCACATTGCGAAGTTCACGAACGGCGACGTGTACGCCGACTTCTGGGGAGGCCTTCGGCTGAGGGACCTGCGGCGGGGCTTTGCGCACCAGGCGAGCCGCCGCCTGGGGCGTCGATGAAGAGGCGGCGCCAGTAGGATTCGACATGGCGTCGAAAGGAGATACAGGCTAAAATCTTTTAACTCGTCGAGCCAGAGTGCTAGCGACGGCCGTCGTTAACGGTTGTTACTGCACACACACGTGTGTTTCACCACAAGAAATGATTTCCTAAGATTGAAGGGATTCTTTCGCGGCAACAAGTGGTGACTGTGATTTTCTGATGCATATTTGATTCTACTTTGTTTTGCACATAGATCCGTGTCCCTGTGAATTTCGCATACCTCGACGCCTTGTCTGCACCGTAAGTTCTCCCATATGACTTGTTTCTACATCTGACATCATGTCACATCACCTTTCTTTTATCTTGCCCTTGACACCATAAATCCACCTCTACTTCACCAGGCAGTTAGCAAGAATACCGGGTGTGACTATACACGTAGGTCTACCAAGAAAGCAGCGTCAGTGCCAGCCTCGGGCCCCAGTTTTAGTCTACCGAGGCCCCCGGCTCGCCAAATTGCACGAAAACAAGCTTTCGCAGATTCGCGGCGACCCTCAGCGAACAGTGTTGTACACCAAGCGACGACATGCAAAGCCATGCACCCAATAGCGCTCCCTGGCTGCACATTCTCATTCCGGGTAGTGGACACTCCTCCGATGGTGTGCTGGACGTTCATCACGGTCGCGGACTGAGCACGTGCAGAACAGTCCGAAACAAGGAAGCCCGACAGGCTTTCGAGATCCCTAAAAGGCACTCTCCAAAGTGCGTAACTCAGGTGGCGGCATAGTTCATCCCGTGGTCCTGCGTCGTCATGAACACCATCATGTGCTCATTCCTGGTGGGCAGCTGACCGTGAGTGACTTCTGGACACAGGCCCCTCTGAATGTCTCGAGAAGGGTGCCTCTCGGATGCGTCATTCGACCGCAGACCCACAGCAGTCGGCACGGCGTTGTGCTTGTAACCTGCAGAACCGTACTTGTATCTGGAACTATCTTCGGTATGGCGAGTTGGTGGAATTCCAGAAGCCTTCGTGCAGGTTAGTGCATGTGTCTCGCTCGAATTGAGCTAGAGGCTGGGGCCCTCACCGGTTCGGAGTGTGAGGATGTCATACTGCCCGCGCGCCCTTGGACCAGCCATGCATGGCAGGCTATTGCATCACTGATCAATTTCTATCAGTTTGCAGTGAAATTGTGCAATTATGCAAGAAGTTACTATGACAGATCACCTCGTACCAAGTATGGGAGTCGCACCTCTCAGGGTCTTTCGACACTCAGCACCCGGCTGCTTGTTGCCAATGTTGCGGTCCTTTGTCGGCTGCCACACCACAGTGTAGCAGTAGCCAGCCTGGGTTCAAGGAGTATCAACAAGATCGAAGGCCTGTACATTCCGAAGCTCCATCGGATCTAAGGAGGTCTTCACCACGCACTACTGCCCAAGACCGGGGTCGGGACAATGGGATTCCGCCACCCGAACTTGCCACGATCCAGCCTCAAGTCGCAGAAACCATTTGACAGAGAACGGACCTCGCCGCTGATGCCGTGGAACGAGAGGTCAGGGCGAACCAAGGGGAGAGGAAAGCAGCATCCTTGTCATTGACTAGGCCGCAGGCTGCTTGCTGTCTGGCACTGCTTCTTCCAGCCTGAACAGATGCACAGTCTCGCAACGCAGGGCTTTGCTGCCTTGTGTCGCATTTAGAAAAGCATGCTTATGTGTGACGATCCACCCATTCTGCAACTGCTAAACACGACTCCACGCACGATCCCACAATGCCCGCACATCGAAAGGCACGGTTTTTGCTATTGTGCTTATGATTACTTGTGGGAAAGTTTTGGAATTTGTTCTCCTCTACCTGTAGCGTGAGAGTCAGTGATAGTGATAGCGATAGTAGTAGCCCCGGCAGCAGCAGCAGCGTAGTAGTAGTAGTCGTCGTCGTAGTAGTAGTAGCAGCAGTAGTAGTAGTAGCAGTAGCAGTAGCAGGAGCAGCAGCAGCAGGAGCAGCAGCAGCAGCAGAGCAACAGGCGCAGCAGGTGCAGCAGGCGCAGCAGTATCAGTTCCCAGTAGCAGTGGCAGGAGCAGGAGCAGATTGTATAGTCGTTTCAGTAGATGTTGTAGTTGTTGTAGCAATTAGAAGTTGTTGTTGTCGTATTTGTGTAGAAAGTTTCTATAAAACATGTACTTGGACGGAGCTCTGTTCTTGATCGGCCAAGTCGCTTTGGAAGTGGCACATTCGGCTTCGCGGGCAATGCGTTTTTAGGGCTCGTGTACTTCCCACCTCGGCTGTGGGCTGTCCCTTGTAGATGCAGAATTGACTGGACAGAAGACGCGAATGATAAGGCGAGGTCTCATCACCTGCGCGAAGATCTCGGAAGGATCACCACTAGCCTCACGCTGACGCCAAAGGAAGTTGAAAGCTGAAGATCTTGGTAAAGTGGCTCTTGGCATGCCTTGGGTACTTCAAGTCTGACGCGAGCTGTGTCTGGACGGCAGACCTCCACGACATCCGGGTGCACGCCGTTGAACAGCAGAACGCGCGCCACGAGCTGGAGTACATTGGTCTCGGCAGCATGGGTTGCTGTGCGGCTTGCAGCGACATGTCCAATGATTATGGAAGGCAGAGGTGGAGGGGAAAAAATCTGTCTGCCACAAGCCCTCAAGGCAATCCAAAAGAGGACGCGAGAGTTGGAAACCAACGATGAAACGGCCTGCTCCACGGCGTTGCCCGCCAGGAGTGCATGAGCATCCTGCAGAAAGTACTCGTTGTAGCACCGTGGACACGGGTTTAGGGTTTGAGGTCTGGGGGCAAGCTTTGGGAATTGAGGCTTTTCCGCAGGCTGAGTTCAAACTCGCTGAATCAGAAGACTACGAAAGTCGAGCCGTCTGGATATTACATATCCAATCAGAAGGATTTGAGGTGCAGTGTTAAGGTTTGCGACCACAGAATGGTATCGGGTTTCACGTTGCGGCTCCACATGCCCATTCGCCGACGTGCATAATCTGTCTGGATTGTCACTCTCTCCTGGTTTACATGTACTTTACACCCTACCGTACCCGAACCAAATAAAACGACAAAAGCATCTCAACACACACACACATATAATGACACGAATGTGCACAAGTCAATGACCGAAGATGTTCTGCACAAGGGGGAAGGAACACGCAGGGGAGCGGTAGTACCGTCAACATGAAAATTGTTCAAACATAATGCACGATTTCGACTGTCGCAGTCTTGGCAGTACGCAACTGTGCTTTGCATTTCATGCCGACTAGTCTCCAAAGATTTCTATGACAGTATCGACCGGTTGGCGCATGTGGCAAAGCAGAGCAGAACACACAAAATCCTGCTCATTATGTGCACAACGCAATTGACGCATGTGTCGAGTCGAGACATTGAGGCAAAAGAAGTGCATCGCAAGCCGCTCGCGTGAGAAGTCGAGCCTGCAGTCTCATGTGAGCCAGAGCCTAACATGCTTATCGGCAACATGTTCCAGGACAGAGGGTATCAGCTTCAAAGTTGCGAGAGCTGCCTCTTGTAGGGCACCGCCCCTTGGCCTCATCATTTTGGAAGAATTTCGCCTACAACCTTTGAGCTGCGATGTGGATCGTGATTTGATCGTCTCACCACCTTCCTGTTGCACCGTCTGTAAAAGCCATGCAGGCCGATGTACACTCCCAGATGGTGACATCAAAACCTTAGACCTAGGGCTACACTAGCTCCACCATCTGGACCTAGCGCCAGCAACTCGGGTAAATGCCCTCCTGATCGGCAGAGTCGTGTAAATCCTACTTGTCGGTTCAAACTTCTGCTGCTTACTGCCTCTGTCCTTTGCAGCACGCAGGGCTTCAAGGCTATCATCCCGGTCGGCCACTGCGCAGGTGCCGAGCTTCTTGCCTGAACCCAAGCTTGGGGATGGCAGGACGATAAGTTGAGGGAGATGACTTTGGAGGCGTGTTTCATAGCACGACAAGGACTTGCTGGGAGAAATGTGTATGACTCCCAAAAGCCAGAAAGGCCCTCTTCACAGACGCCTCCCACATTCCGAGGATAGGATCCAAAGAACCTCTGGGAAGCCCGAAACCCCAAAATCAAAAGACACCACGGTTTGTCGCTGCAGTAGGACTTATATAGTGCAGTGCAGAAGCAGAAAGAAGTTGCTATTACTTAGGTTGCTGCTACATGGGCGCTCCATTTATGGGAAGCGCATCTCAGAGAGGATCTTAGGGACCCAGGAGTCCGTATTGAAGCAGCTCAAATTGCATATGTCCAGAATGAATGGGGCATTTCTCTTAAACTGCCTAAACCGAAACGCTACACCGGACTTGAAAGATACTGGAGCCTTTGGGTTTTCAGAGCTTGCAGCTTATAGCTATAGTATAATAGTGGAGTGTGGCCTTAATGTAGGAACCTGATTAAGAAACCCTGGGCCCTTCTTAGGGTTCCTTATATGAATCCTTCGATTTTGTGGTTCTAGGCCCAGGGTTTCTTAATCAGGTTCCTACATTATACTGAGGACGACGTAGACCCTCCATCTACCCTCTATTACACCTTAGATACCCATTATTTGGGACCATATACCCCTATATGTCCGGGTAATCATTGCTATAATAGTGTACCGGCCATCAACTCGGCCGTGGCGCTTAGCCGGGAGAGCCGAGCACGTGCCAGGCCAATGAGGGCGGCCGCCTCAAGCGCCGACCAAGGCTGAGGACCCTCGAGGTTCCGAGGGGTGGAGGTTCAGGGTTTAGGGTTTAGGGTTCAGGGTCTGGCATTCTGGTCGCAAGGACAGGGCTAGCCTGGAGATGTTTAGTTTGGAGCACGGTCTGCAACAACCCACCACTGCTCCTTTCCCCGCGTCTGTCGCAAGTGTAGCAGGAAGCTTGCCGAAGCTTGCCGCAAACAGACGGTCGATGGTTGTTGGCCAGCCGGCCACCTGAGGCAAGACTGGATTAATAGCGCTTTGGCTCATATGCAGTGCTATGCAGTGCTCATTGTGAGCATACATCTCCTGCAGGATGCTTCCGAAGGAACTGTGCCAAGCGGAAGTTCAGCAGGATCAGCGGCAAGCACAGAGTCAGCAGGAGTGCGCTCATGGCCGAGACGCTTCCGAAGAAGCGCTGCGATAGGTCTGTGCATGGCCAAATCAGGAAGGAGAGGCCTCCGGTCACCAGCGAGCATAATCCGTTGATGGTGCCAAACGTTCGATTCCCGAACGTGTGCCCAAGAAACGAAAAGGCCGTCGAAAAAAGCAAGGCTCGGAAGTTCGTGAAGGCGATAAAGCCCATAAGCTGCAGCTGAAGGGATGGCACAAGAGCCACTGTGTTCCATGTAACGTTAAGAAAGATCACTACAAAAAAGGTCGTTGCAAAGCCTTTTTTGGAAAGAAGCAAGCTGTACAGTGGTGCAAGCAGCGCAGAGGCAGGAAGTAGAGCAGTGAAGATTTGAACGTAAGCATAGTCCGTTTCTGCATCACCAAGGGACTCGAGCAAGAGTTTGTTATAGCCCAAGTAGCTGTTTGAAGTAAACACTTGCGTCGTGAAGAGCACCATGATGAAGGCGAACTCTAGACTGGCACATTGGCGCCTCACCGAAAGCCCGTGAAGCCTCGGGTGCTTCGAGGAACCGGCCTCGACCTCCTTCCCAGCCCGCAGCTCTGCCGCATTGCAGGCCTCCAAAGTTCGCAGCGGCGCCCCGCACCAGCTCAGGGCCAATAGGGCCGTCGAGCCAAGGCAGAGTGCTGCGTAGAATCCGAAGATGCTGGAGCGGGACAGGCCCATGCGGTAGCTTTGGTAGAAGCCAACCGGAACCACCGCAGAGGCATCAACGAGGCAGTTGGCGAAAGTCATGACAATGGGGAAGTAGCGTGATTGGACAAGGAAGGCCAGCTTCATGGCATGCATGATCAAGCAAGCACCTCCTGCACCGATTAAAATTGTAGCGATCTGCAGGACGTCCACTACATCTGCCGGCCCAGTGCTTAGCTCGGAGCCGCCCTGGCCCATGACCAGCAGCCCTGCCGAAGCCAGCAGCCCCCCAGCCACTACCAGGAAAAGCGGCCCGGCTCGGTCTGTCAAGAAGCTAACCACCGCCAATCCCATGGTCGCTGCCATCTGTCCGACGGTGTACAGAAGGACCATGCGGCTGCTTCTGGCCTCACAGAGCGGCTCCGAGCTGTCGCAAAGGTCACGGTAGACACCATCTTCCTCTAGCATCGGCTGCCAAGACGCCCAACCAAAGATAGGTCCGGAGAACAGCAGAGTCACCAGAAGACCCAAAATGACCGTCGCCCACTGGCGTAAACCGCCCGCCTGAGCGTCATTGCGCTCCTCTGGTGCAGCTTCCGTGGACGATAAGGTCACATCTGATTCAGCAAGGGAATCTCCCCCATCCTTGCGCCCATCTTCTGCATCAGGCTGATCGATGACTGCCGGCTCTTTCATCATGCCTGCGAATGACTGTCGATCTGCACTTCCAGACCAGAGAAGGAGCTGCTGCCCATAAAATTGCCAGCTGATGGAACCGTTCCAAACCCTCCTGCGCAAAACTTTTACGATGTACTCGTCACTCTGAATCTCCCCTCTAACCAAATGCGGTTCCAGCAGCCGACTCCAGAGACCGGCAAATCAGGTGCCGCTATGCTTGGGCAAAGACAAAGCTTTCGAAAACCAGCATTCACCCCATTTCACCCCGGGACCAGGCCACGTGCAATGATTCGTGCCCAAAAACATGCTTCTGCCACAACGTTCCAACGTGGCCTCTTGCGCCGGGTCCCTGAGCTCCTTCGCTATTTTGGCAAACTCCTGCAGGCATCTTCAGCTGCGGCTGTGTTAGTGCCCCTTTACCTCATGGGTGCGGTTAGATTAAGCTAGGTTGGAGTGTGGTCTCTTACCTCAGGTTGGAGCCCCGGTTATGTTGGAACAATTATCTGAGGTTTCAGCCCATGATACCTTACGCAAGCGCATGCAGGTACCTGCACAGATCGAGTTAATGAACACTTTTACTACATCCTCGTCGACTACAGATGTATACTTGAGGGATCAGCGGGACTGTGGCATTACAAGTGCTCTACCGTAGCTCTACCTGCACTACTGCGCAATCAAAAACCCCACTTGCAAAGTACTGACTCCATCCCCGATCCCACCAAACTAAACGGCGGAGCCCAGACCCATGAACTCCCAGACTCGCAGACCTGAACCCTAAACTCCTAAACCTTAACCCCCAAGCTCCTAGACCTTAACCCTAAACTCCTGAACCATGACCCTAAACTCCTAAACCGTAACCCTAAACTCCTAAACCTGAAAAACACTAACCCTAAACCCTGAACGTTAACCCTAGACTCCTAGACGTTAACCCTGAACTCCTACCCTAAATCTTTGCCCTAAACCGCAACACTAAACTCCTCAAGCTTAACCCTAAACTCCCAGACCTTAACCCTAAACTCCCAAACCTTGGCCCTAAACTCCTAAACCTAAACTCCTAAACCTTAGCCCTGAACTCCTCAACCTCAACCCTGAACTCCTAAGCCGTAATCCTAAACTCCTAAGCCTTGACCCTAAACCCCGAAACCGGAACCCTAAACTCTTGAACTGTACCCTAAACTGCTAAACCTTAACCCTAAGCCCCTAGGCCTTAACCCTAAACTCCTAAACCCCGTAACCCTAAACTCCTAAACCTCAACCCTAAACTCCTAAACCCTGAACCTAAAACTCTACTAGACCAACTCCTAAACCTTAACCCGAAACCGTAACCCTAAACTCCTAGCCCTGAAATCCTTAACCTTTACCCTAAACTCCTTAACCTTAACCCTAAACTCCCAGACCTTAACCCTATACTCCTAAACAAAGACCCTAAACTCCTAAGCCGTAACCCTGAACTCCTGAACCTTAACCCTGAACTCCTAGAACCTTAACCCTGAACTCCTAGACCTTGACCCTGAACTCCCAAACCTCAAACTCCTAAACCTTAACCGACACTCCTAGACCTTAACTAAACTAACTAAACCTTAACCCTAAACCGTGACCCTAAACTCCTACACCTTTACAAGACCTTAACCCTGAACTCCTGAACCATAACACTAAACGACTCCTCGACCTTGACCCTACACTCCTGAACTCCTAAATTTAAACCTTAACCCGAAACCGTAACCCTAAACTCCTAAACCTTAACCCTAAACTCCTAAACCTTAACCCTAAACTCCTAGACCGTACCTAAACCTTAACCCTAAACTCCTAAACCTTAACCCTAAACTCCTAGACCGTACCTAAACCTTAACCCTAAACTCCTAAACCTTAACCCTAAACTCCTAGACCGTACCTAAACCTTAACCCTAAACTCCTAAGCCTTAACCCTAAACTCCTAGACCGTACCTAAACCTTAACCCTAAACTCCTAAACCTTAACCCTAAACTCCTAGACCTTACCTAAACCTTAACCCTAAACTCCTAAATCTTAACCCTAAACTCCTCGACCTCACCTAAATACTAAACCTTAACTCTAAACTTCTAAACCTAAACTCCTAGACCTTACCTGAACCTAAATCCGAAACTCCTAAACCTTAGCCCTAACTCCTAGACCTCAACCTTGAACTCCTAAACCTTAACCCTAAACCCAATACCTGAACCCTAAATTCCCTAGACCCTAAACTCCTAAACCGTAGCCCTAAACTCCTAGACCTTACCTGAACCTTCACCCCAAACTCCTAAACCTTAACCCCAAACTCCTACACTTTCCTAAACCCCAAACCCCCAAAAGGTTTACCCCGCAGCGGAGAGGAGCTCCTGCCAGGCGGCCAGGGCCTGCGAAGGGCGCTGCGTCTGGATGCATTTAAATAAATAAATAAATAAATAAATATATATATATATACATATATATATACATATATATATATATATATATTTATTTATGTTTATCTATTTATTTATCTATCTATTTATAGATTTATATACTTATCCATATATGTGTGTGTGTATATATATATCTCTGTGTGTGTATGCATCTGTATATATATATATATATATATATGATGCCGCGCTGCTGGGCCCCGGCCCCATATTATCCGCTTTTCTGATTCCCTGCGGCGCGGGTTCGCCCCGCTGCCCCTCTCCCCCCTGTTGTTGTGGTTATGAACTCCAAAGCTGATGATGAGCATGATGACGAAGATGGTGATCTTTCATCATGATCCCCGTCCGCACTCTTCCCCTCGGTCCCTTGCTCAAGACTCACCAATGAAAGTCATTCAAAGACATGCCCCCCCCCAACCGGTATGAGAACGGTCGATACAAACTACGAAAGAATGTCAAGCCAAGCAGGCCTTTTGCCTTTTGAATCAAGAAAAGCTAAGAACATACGGTAACTATGAAGAACAGCACAAGAGCAGTAGCACTACCAATAGATACCAAAAGTCACACTCGGAACACCAGAATGCAAGAACCACATCAGTGTCACTGTCCTCAGCATCATCGCCATCATTCTCATCAGTGTGGAGAGGGGGGTGCGCGAGCGCCCCAAACAACATCAACAGTTACGAGGCCCCATCCCTGTGACTGTTTGCTCAGATGACAGGCCTGGCTTGGCCGGGAAGAGACGAGGAATCAAGATATGTGCAACGCAGATATGAAATGACGAATAAGAACACCAGTAAGGATAATTAGACCTTATTCCTTCAGTTGGCTGTGGCTGTGGGGCCAAGTAAGCCTTTGCTAAGTTTTATATTGCTGGTACCAGTCTTATTTATTTGTATCTATACTTGCACATATTACTTACGCCGTTGAACCTGCACATACCCATTTTCATCCTCATATACATACACATAAACATGTACATGGACTACCCTGTCCTGCCCATACACCCAGGCATACATGTACATACATACTTGCGTACGGCCAGACAGACAAGCAGCCAGACATGCATACATGCATAGACGCATGCATATATGTGGCACAAGGACGCGATGATGATGCGGCAGATGCGGCTGTACTGTCGCGAATGAACAGCACGCATGACTCCGAAGTTGATTGCGGGGCCTGCAGTCGGAAAAAAGCCTGATTGCTTGCTCATCTCGTAGGAGCCTCCACCCTGAACCCTCAACCCCAAAGTCCCTAGCTTACGGTTTGGGGTTCCGGCTTCGGCTCAACAAAACACCCCTGCCTTTTCTACGTCAAACTCCGTGGCCGCGACGGCCATTGCCTTCCACGCATCAGCCTGAAACCACGCTGAGGCTGCTCCAAGTGACGAGCTTGAGCTTTCGTTCAAAAGCCTTTTTACACCCTGCGCCTTCATACTAGAAAGGTCTACACAAGCGCAGGGGTTTTGTGCCGAGAGTTTACGGAGTTGCTTCCAAATGAAGTCTCTTTTGGAGGTTGTGGGGCGAACTATGTAATCTGGGTTCAAGAATGAGAACAACATAGAAACATGGAACAACCTTCAAGTGCAAAACAGCCCACCAGCATCCAGCAGCGAGCAAAGAAGCATGGGCCTGCCCAGCCCGGTCTCCGGCGACCTGGCGCACACCGAGCAGCCAAAGGTATTCGAATCCTAAGTCTTTAATCTTTAAGTCCCTTCCAGGGATCTATAAGTAAGGGGTTTAGCATGCAAGGGTCTTTCTCTGTGCATTTTCACCGTGAGTGAATGCTACCCTTTCGTCCAGTTTCGTCCAGAGCATTCCAGAGCTCGGGATCCCAAGAGTCGCCTTGGCCAGGCGCAGGGCTTCGCGACCCGCCGTGGCCGCCTGTGGAAGCTACTGCTGTTTCAGGCTGAAGTTCTTGCAGATACGACCAGTACAAGTCTTGGCGACCCTTGAGGCTCGGAGGCGCCTCTTGGTAGCGTTGCGTCTGCGTGCAAACCTGGCCCGGTGACGCTGACGATCGGTTGCCTTCTCCCTACCAGTAGGTGCACTTCCTCTGCCATCTTAGAAGACCCAAGTGACAAGGTTAGTCTCAAGTGCAAAGCAGGCTGGGCTTTGCCTCGGCGACCAGCAGCTGCGCCTGCAAGCCAGGAGGGCTTCTAGGGCTAGGGGCCAGCTGCGAAGACGGAGCGTGAAAGGCCCAGAAGAACACCAACCAAGCCTTGGATTCACTCTTCGGATCCTCGGACAATCGAAGGCTTGCTTTGGCGTTAAGACGTTAAGACAAGTTAGCAGGCTGCGATCCTGGCTTTGCCATACGATGTTCGTGCTCGCAGAAAGGCCAACCGCACTCTGAGCCCCCTGCATTCACGGTCTTGAAGAGCGCTGCAGCCTCGCATGGAACGACTCGAAACTGCTACGACGCTGCTGCTGTAGCAGCTGCTTGTCGCACCAGTTGCAGCGAACAGCCAGAAGATTTTACATGACGGTCCGCCCAGAACCTCTGCAGCAACGGCTCGTGCTTCTGGCCGTTTCTTCTGTTTCAGATAGATGTCGATCCTTCAAGGAGCCGAGTGTGTCGCGGGTTCGCTCAGAGATGACATGGCCATGCCTGCCGCCAAGGAGCTTCGTGCTCGTAGCCTGGCTCTGCATCTGCTGGTTCCCCGCTTTCTGGAACCTCAAAGTCAAGACAGAAGACAGGAAAGCCTTGGAGAAGCCCAGTCCAGTGCTTAGAGGGCCAGGGCCTTTCGCCCGGTCTAGGGCCTGCACGCAGCTATGGCTTCATCGGCCTTGGCCAAGGCCTCATCATAGGCGCCCTGGCGAGAATGCGATGGCAGGAGAGTTTGGCTTGGCTTCCTTTGGCCTGGGCGGCCGTCAAGGGCCCTTGAGGGCTCTTAGAGTGATCCTAGCAAAGGGCTATGAGCTGTTGAAAACGGAGCATGAACGCCCGGATGAGAAGTGCTTTCTTTTCTTGAGGAGACATTGGACACCACGTTCGGCTTTGGCATCAACAGCCGCGACCGCCTCAGCCAGGAAGGTCTTCGCCGCAGCCAAGGAGGCAGCTGCCTCCTCAGGGCACCGTTCATCAAAGAAGGAAACCGACAGCTTGCAAAAACTCACTCAACATCGAAGCAGGTCATTCAACCCCTTGCTGCATTCAGTGTGAAACGGGGCTACTTAAATCAAGTAACTGCAAGTGCTTGCAAACCCACTTGCGGTACAACCAGCGATGAATCTTCCAAGCACGAAGGTAACACGCAGGCCGACGGCCGAGCTCAACGATTTTCATCTGAGCTCCCGGCTGCCATTGCGACGGAACTGTTGAAAGCACAAGGAATCAAAGCTGCGAGTCCTCCGAATTGATGAGCTGACTAGCTGGCTGCCATCTTTGTCCCCAGCTTCCTTGCTTGGCGGGTGGAAAATGCGGCTACAATCCAAGTTGCTTCATGAAAATGACTTTGGCCCCATGAAATAACTACAAGGAGGCTGGAGCCTAAAGCCGCCGCATGCAACAGCTCATCCGCGAATCATCCGCAGCACAATAACCACTGAGGCTTCTCCGGGACAATCCTACTTTTTGCAGACTTGTGCACTGCCTTCAAAGCCCCTCCGCGGATCCGCTGTCCTAAGTTCTGAAAACTTGCATACGACTCCCTGCAAGTTGGCGCTGCAAGATGGTGCCGCTGCGTGACAGGAACTCTGAAAGCGATCAAGATCACTCGCATCCCCAGAACAGAGCTGCAGAAAAGCAGTAGCATCTGCCATCTCCAACTGCTTTTGGATGCTTAGTGTCTGGTCAAACGTCACGCTCGTCATTGTGCGGCTACAGCTTACACTTGCGAAGTCTGGGTGTGTACTCCGTCTCTGGCTTGGCTTCTGGGCTCGCTGTGCTGTGCCGCCCTGCCGGCCCTGACGGTATCGGATGGGTCTCGCGGCAAGCGAGTACCGAGCTCGCCTGTCGAACAGGACCGGGGGATTTTGAGATGCTATGCGCGGTTTTGACGGAAACAACTCCGATTTGAGAAGTGCCTTCGCTTGAAATTGGGGGTAGCTATGCAAAAGCGGTGTCGTTTTGGAGCTGCAGCTACACGGTGGCATGCCCTTAGCTCCAGATGTCAGGCTTGGCTTAGGGTGGAAGCTTGTCAGATCGGAACCCCCTTTGATCGACCGCGCAATGTACATCGACTGCACAGGTCATGTCACTCTCGAAAATTTCCATGTCTGTACATGGCTGTACAACAAGGATGCCCTTTGACCAGCGATCTGCTGGCAAGGGTGTCGCTCAATCAGGACTGTCAAGCCTGGATGGCGCTGTACAAAGTTCAAGAGTTAAAGATTTCCACAGGTGATGGTGGAGGCTCTGCAGCACCAAAACCATTTACGTGCAGAGGACCTTGATGGTCTGAGCAGCCAAACTGCTGCATGCGATCATCAGCTCACCGCTGAGGGGTAATTAGCTAGCTGCCTCTGTTGAACTGGAGGCGGCTCTAAGCGGTAGATTCGATAAAGCGGGTCTAAGTACTTTGAACAGACACTGGGCGCGGATTCGCCCAGCACTGAGCTCAGACGCAGGACCCATCCTCATCCGCCTTGTCGGATAGCGGAGTGCGCTGATCGATATAGCGCAGCCCAGTCCAGGAGAATGCCTCGGAGCTTGCTCTTGCAAACCTAAACTTTATAGCAGTCGCCACAATTTCCTACCATCTTGCATTGAGCCCAGTGCGATGGATAAGCCATACATGAAGATCACGGCGTAGAAGGGAATGTAGCGCCCAAGCGATCCCATGCCTTGGGATAGGGGCAGGGGTGACGGGACATCTCTGCTTCGCGGAAGCGAGGTTTGTTCTTAACGCCTCAGATTCAAATCGAGCCACGGTTGCAGTACCCAAGGAGCACCTGAATGCCAATAGCTCAGGCGTGAAAGGTGGCCTCGAGACCTCGTATACTTCCAAGGCACCGAAGCGAGGTACGGAAAGACTGCTTCGCAGAGAGCACCTGGGCAGATTCCATGTGTTTCCGGCGATCTTCTCTGATACTGAAAACCCTCTTGGATGATTCTTCGCAGCCGTCATCATATCCTAAACCATGAGTCCCAAACCCTCAGCTCCGTACCTGAACTTGCTACAAGTATGTGAACAGTCATGCACGCCGAAGCCGTCTTCACACGCATTCTTCGGACATTCTGGAAGCAGGGAACAGGGACTCCTATTCTGCAGAGCTGGTGCTGTAATATGTCTCACATTGCCCTCCCACTTTCCAGATACGGGATCCTGCCATGTGGATGGAGAAAAGGCTAGGTTTGCCGGACAAGAAGAGAATTGGTACAAGCCCTGGTCAAGGTGCCACTGGAGTGCGCCCAGCCATTGACAGCTCCCCGGTTCAGGCCTTGCGACGCGCCTGGGATCGCTTTTGAGGCTTGTTGCTTAGCCTAGATCCGGGAACCCCATGGCTCGTCCATGTCATCTGTCAGGGCTTTGCCATCGGCTGAGCGGCGGTTGACAAATGCGAATGCCGTCGGAAACATTAAGGTCGTCCCGGTCGTGAAGACACACTGGCCAATGCCCAGGACCACCTCTCTCCAATGGCCTGCTCGTGCAGTGGCGATTTGCAATCAGTCATGCCAGGCCGCTAGGCACACACACTGACACACACCCTGCAGCCCGGAAACCGTGTTGCGGATTTGCCAGCAGACCTCGGCTGCAAGTCCGCAAGATGCTGTTCAACTGTTGAGGGTCTCTGATCGTGCGTCCGGGGTGCCGTAAACTGGGAAAAGTCCATAGGCAAGACTGCTGAGCAGGAAGCCGACCACCAAAGTGTTGAGAAAGCCTCGACAGTGCGGCTTCCTTGCTAGAATGGCCCCGATTGCTTGGCCGAAAGCAGGTCTCAGCAAAAGAGTTTTTTTGACTGGAAACTCAGCAAAGCCGTACAACACCGAAGATCACAGCAGCAAGAGAGCCGTCTGTTAAGCGCAACATAAAGCATCCCAACAACCTAGTTTCTTGGTCAGCACCGGATAGAGGGTCAACTGGCTCAGCATGACGCCCACCGCACCTTCCAGAAGCAGAGCTGCACATTCAGATCATCAAGGTGGCACCCCGGCACCGGCAAGACGATGCCTACGTTCTGAATGATGGAGATCGCGCGTGGGCTCAGCTCAAACCCGCCCACAGTGTGGTCGTATGACCTTGTTTGCACTTGGCAACAGCATCTCAGGTCTTCTCCGGCTAAACTGAGGCTCGCGCACCACCCAGACCATCAATTGGTCCTGTGCCATTACGCTACCAGTCAGGCCGCAGTACATGATGATGACCCTTGGCAGGCAAGTGGATGAAGCACCATCAATGACAGCCGACAACAAAAACTCTTGCAACACCTGTCGAGGTCAGAGCTATTTTTCTATTCTGATTCTCCACGAAAGCACGGTGCTAAGCGCTCTGTTTGGGAAGCCCATGTAGAAGCTGCAGCTGAGGGGCTGGATGGTAGACAGTGGATAGCAGCCTCCTGCACTTCCTCGCAAAAAGCCCGAGGAAGAGATCAGGTTTGCTTGCAGGGCTCCGACCAACTCCCACGTGGTTGTAAACAGCCACAGCTGTCCTGGATCTGTGCATGTGTCCACCCCCGAGTCCATCTCGTGCATCGGACCTGCACAAGGTCTATGCTGAGTCTGCGGCCTGGACGTTCGAGAGGTGGAATCTTTGCAGAGATACGCCTGACATCGCGCGCTGCAATGTTTGAGGCCTCCACAGCGGAGTTCCGACAACACTTCAAGCGGTGAGAGAAAACTTCGGGTCATACCCTCAGGCCACCAGTGATACAGGCTTTGATGTGCAATCTCATGTCAGCTTTTGACTTGGCAAAGCCACATGTTGAAAACTCCGGCCGTCCTGGTACCCTGGCGTCTGATGTTGCGACACTTGCAGCGCTGGCTTTTCGGAAGAGTCTCCTTGGGAGGGGCCATGCATGACATGTGTGGCTCGCGGAGCGGTGCCGACGCAGCTGGAACTGCTACAACATCACCAGGAATTGCGGCTAAACTTACAAATCAAGCGACACAGACTGGCTGGCAATTTATTATCAATGCAAGTAAATGCCGCTACACTCACCTACCCATGCATAGGTTTGCACGAGCCGTCCTCTATGCAGAAGGCCGCAATGCACCTGCAGGTGCCAGACCATCTCAAAAAAAAAAAAAAAACTACTTCGTGGCACGGTTCCACCCAAGTTTCGAGGCTTTTGTTTTAGGGCCTCGGCTGCAACCTATGAAACGGACTTGGAAGGAGCCGCATACACCCTGCTCACCGGTGAGGCTGAAAATCATGCGCGAGATTCTGATCACGGCAATCCCTTCCACTCTTGGTCCTTGTGCATTCTGCATGCTTTCGTGCTATCGTTTCGTTCTTGATGGTTTCCAGCCTTCCATGTTTGCGTCCTTCCTTCCTTCCTTCCGTCCTTCCTGGCGTTCTCCCTTCTTTCCTTGCTCTCACATTGGGGCACCCGTTGGGCTCTAGATGAAGTCATCTGCAGCTGTGGCGCCAAGAGATCGCTGCGAAAATGGCCTCGGATGGGAGTGACCAAGTGGCAGTGACGGCCAGCGTCACGACTGAATAGACAGACTGCTGCCGCCGCCGGATTCGAACCCCCGAGCAATGAGAAAGGCAACCGGAAGAGTTTCAAGAAGACTACGAATGCAGGATCTGGTCCGTGAGGGAGTTTACGATGGGTCTGAGAAGCAATACTGCAGAGCCCCGCACCAACGCTTGCTGAAAGTCGAGTTGAACCGTAACACCAAAACAAATTGCACCCACACCATGCTGAAAATCATGGAATGCTGAACTAGGGGAATGCTTTGACTGTCAATGACAGTTTCTTAGCCGATGCTCTGCACGGAGGGATATAGAGTCCAGAAGGCGAGAGACAAGCAGAGGGCTGATTGCAACAAGAAGAGGGGTCCTCACATGTCACGGGAAGCGAACGAATGCAGGATGTCTACACAAATCATCGCACTGTCCATCGAACATTTCGCAAACAGGCTCAAAGCCATGCTGCAAAGACAAGGTTGGGCAGCAGAAAGGGGTACTCGTCAAAGATGGTTCCCGCAAAGATGTTGGGTGCCCAGCTCGCCGGGTAGACCAATCTCAGTTGTGCTCGACATCGTTTCATCTGCATTCCATAGCACCAGGACATACATGAATACAGCATGATGAATGACTGAGAACAGTATCATACTAGGCTTGGGCTGTTCGTATCAGTCTAATGGCGGTCGTCCACCCACCCACCCACCCACCCACACGCACCACACCCACACCTACACTCCTTCTGCTTTCTGCTGCGGCTACTGCTGCTGCTACTGCTAAGCTACTGCTACCACCACCATCACCACTCCCACTGCTCCTCCTCCGCCTGTTGCGGCTGTTGCTGCCAGCACTACCACCACTGCGGTAACATACGGATTTCCACACACCTAAACAAGTATTTGATACTGCCTCCATCGGCTTCGGGCCCAGGCCCCAAAACAAGCAGACGACTACTCTCACCTCCACTCTCCACACCTCCACGAATCTACCCCTCCACCCCACCTGCACCCCCGTGCACTTACCCGCAGTCAGGGCGTAGAGGGTTTGCGCGCTTTGATTCATACAATAATCCTTTCGTTTTTAGGCAGTATTTGTTCACGGCCTAGGCCGCCCACCCACTTGGATGGGCGGCGCTGCAGCCCCTCGTGACTGATCGCGAAAGCTCATGCAGTTCCAGTGCTGGTCCTTAAAGCCATCACCCCAAACCTCGAGTTTCACCTGCGTGGGCGGCCGTGCCTGCCCCTGCCCCTGCCCCTGTGCCTGCTCCTGCCACTGCCCTGTCTCAGAACAAAGACAGCGCGTCTTGGCACGAGATTAAGCCGAAACACTCGACGCAGCCTTGCAGCAAGATCGCTTACGCGCTATCCACAGCAAACTCACACTGGAGGACGAAGGGAAGGGGTGCAGTTGGATGGAGGGGTGGAGCCGGAGGTGGTGTGGAGGTAGAGGGGTGGAGGGAGATTTGGGGGTGGAGGGGTGGAGTTTATTCTTAAAAGTACGATTCAAACAGCACGTTTATGATACCTCTGCGGCTCCGGGGTATGGCCGCCCTCTACTGATTCAAAACTACCGCTGCTGCTGCTGCTGCTGCTACTGCTACTACCACCACTACTGCCACTTACTACCACTACTACTTTTCGCTCTGCATGTCGCAAAAAGCTTCTCAAGGAAGCTTCTATACCCCGATGATGACAATCGCGCAGCTCGTTTGAGTGAGCGATATACAGCATCATTGCACCAACGCGAAGATCCCGGGATGCAAAATGCAGAATGAGCGGTGTGCTCACCGACAGTCCTAAGCGACGTGAGCAACAAAACGATGACTCTCCTCTAATCTGCCCGTGGACGACACTGCACAGGTACCATACTTGTCTCTGGTTGTCAGTCCGCCATCAGCAAGAAAGGAGATGCATCAACGACAAATGGGCCCAAGGACTGCCAGCACTACCACTACTATTACTACTACTTGCTACTGCTGCTCCGGCCGTGGCTGCTGCTGTTGCTGCTGCTGCTGCTGTACAGCAACCGCCACAACCATCATCACCACCACCACCACCACCACCACCACGATCTCCACCACCATCACGACCACGACCAGCACCGCCGCTGCCACCCACCACCACCTCGACCACCACGACCACCACCACCGACACCAAGAACAACACCGCCCACGCTTCGGATCAGACTTGACAAAAATGCAGGCAGATCTGTGCTTAGTATGAATCATATGCACCCAAGCCTGCACTCGCTCCTCCTCGCTCTGCGCTCGTTCAAAAGCAGATGTTCCGCGAGCCCAGCGGCTGGCCACCCATGGCGGGACCCAAGATGAGGCCAAGCGAGAAGCAAAATGCCAGAAGGCTGAAGCCACGTGCCTGCCGTCTCAAGCATCTGAATCCATAGTCGGGTTGACACTAGATCTAGATGTATACTAACTCCTAGTAGGGGTTGTGGTTGGGAGGCATTATCTGGGCATCGGTGGAAGCGAGATCCATTCGCTGCACAAGGCACCTCGCTTTTGTCGTCGACGAGCTCGCCAAGGTAGGTTTTCGTTACCTGAGCGCCAGGCGTAGGCTTGGCTTCTGGTATCCGATCCCGATGCTAACCACTACTCCGAGTTCAACCATCAGACTCGCTGATGCAGCCGTTAGCACTACCATGTTGCCGCAGAAGAAGCCGTCCAACGCTCGAGCTGCAAACGCCATCGCAATGTTTCTGCTGAAACCTTGCTGCATCCATCCCTCTCTTCATGTGATATCAGCAGTGACTCACGCCAATCGGTTCGAAACACGCGTGGCAGAGAATCTCCTCAGGGGCCCCATGAATCTGTGCCAGGTCACCAAGTAGAATGGGAGCGATCACGGAGCCCGCAAGTCCAACTAGGAGGCACGGCCTCGACTGCTGCTTCAGAGCTGCGAGGATGTCCGTTCACCACACACTCTCTTGCGAGCAAGTACAAGCAAGCATAAGCAAAGATGGTGAGACGACACTCACATGTGCGTGCATGAATACCAACATACAACACCAGAGCATGCCATAACAAACAAACACACGCATTGCAAAAACACAGGAGTATCATTGTTTCATCTACACCTGCACTTACATCCATACATCCGTCCGTCCGTCCGTGCATCCCTGCATTCATCCCCGCATCCCTGCATCCATGCATCCATCCGTGCATCCATCCATCCATCCACCCACCCAGCCATCCATCCATCGACGCATCGATGCATGCATGCAAATATCCGTACACCGGCTCATGCGTAGCCAGATGCTGTATCTATGCACGCATGAACCACACCGTCATCAGCATTTTTATATATTAGACAGGCAGGTACAGTCTACTTTGTCTATGTGTACTTACGTTTGAGTTTTCACATCCAGATTGAAGCTTTCGGTCTCTCTCTTACACACCACAGAAGCATGCATGCATGCCTGTCTGCTTGCTTGCTTGCTGAACTTTGCGTGCTTTGATCTTGCTTGCTTGCTGGCTGCTCTCTCGCTTGCTTGCTTGATTGCTTCGTTGCTTCCTTGCGTCCCTTCCCTTCCTTCCTTACACTATAAATAAAGAAGAAGACAAAGGGTACGTCAGGCAGAAACTTATCGCGGATCAGCAGGAGTTACTCTCAGATGCTCACCGTCTCCCGACCATGTCGGCCAACATGCCCCAGAAAGGAGAGACGATCACCTCGTGCAGCTTGGGCTTTTAAACTTTTGCTGTCTGGGCCTACAGTGGGTTGTGCGAGGAAAAGCTTTCGCGATGGAGCAAGGGATGCACCCCTTGCCTCGAGGAGTGAATAGACCCCGATGAGCAGAGCAGCCTCGGGCGATAACCCAGAAATACCGAGTTGGCACTTTCCTGGACAGGTAACGGCGACAACAGCCTCGTGTTACTTCGTACCAGGCCGCAGTTGTGGCCACTTCGGGGCTCTGCGGGCTCACATCCAGATAGGCGGACACCATCTTGTCGACGTATGGCAAAAGCATGTTCATATTGATACTGTCCTGAGATTCTGCAACACGAAGCCATTCCACCGAACAAGAATCATGCAGTCAAGACTCAATCAGGTTAATGGCACCAACCACGAACATTGTCTTTGCATTCAGTCGGGGCTTCGCCTGCCGGCGGGCTGCTTGTCATGTTCTTTCTCAGAGCTCCTTCAGCAACACCGGCGATCTTCTCTCTGCATCCTTAAAGAATGGAGCAGACAGCCCAGGGCCTCGGTTGCGGCTTGTGGAGGCTGCGCTGGCATGGCTTGTAGCAGCACAGGGGGCACACACCGATCTCTTCGTCCCCGAGCCAGAAAAACAGCTGCAGCACGCATGGCCACTCAGGTGCCATGTGCGGAACCTCCAGAGCACCACGACCCTCACACCTGAATCCTGAAAGATCCTGACCCCCTTGCTTCGCGCCTGGTGGGCCAAAGAGCTGCGCCTGAGACACAATATCATTAGGAAGTGTTTCAGGGAGACCGCAGGGATGGATCTGGGGACTGCAGGATCTGCGGAAAGGAATGGGAAGCGAGAACAACTTTGCCTCTGCTTAGGCCCAGGCCAGCAGCCACGGCTCTGCAATGGGCCATGGATGGATTTGCATCTCAAAGGACTCAGAGGGTTCGATGGGCTGTCTTAACAAACGGACCAAAGAAAGTTGCTGTCGCATACCTCGACGAGGCCTTGCTGGAGCCCGACACAATCCAAATCAGGGCTAACAGAGACCAACTGCCAACACCGACCCATGTATATTTCACCAGCACTCGAGCGCTCAGATCAACACTGAACAAGCCCGACGCAATCCCACGCAATTCAGCCCGCCTTTTTGATTCCATTGAAGCGAAAACTCATCCTGTCTCCAGGTGGCAGTCTTTGGCACCTGATCTTCTGCTGCCTCTTAGACTCGTCATGCCGCGGTGCATGCCCGCCTGACCTCCTCTTATCTCCTTCCCCTGTCCAAAAACGGCTTCCAGTTTGCAATGACTACATAGTGGCCGCTGCTTTCAATTCGGACAGAAAGGCTCGCAGGTTGACGGTGACGAGGCATGACAGCGAGAGACAGGTGAGAGCACAGCAGGAACATGTCACCATGTCAACTCGGCACATGCAGGATTCCTCATTTGGTGGTGCAGGCTCAAGAATACTGAGTAGTCTTCAACCGCCAATACACATGCATACGCACAGACGATCCGTAGTTAGGAAACGTTTGAAGAAGCAGGCAAGAAAATGAAAACCGAAGGCGTTATTTGCTGGTACATAACAGGCGTTTTAGCACAGTCACGCCTTCCTATTTTCTCAACAAGGCGACGTGTTCCTGGCCCGTGCATGTGCGAGGCCGGCAGGCACTAAGCTCTAAGACCAACAGAAAATCTCCAGGGCTAGGAACTTCGCAGAAAGGTGCGCTTGGCTTTCTTCAAGGCCTTAAATAATGAGAAATAGGGTCTTGTGGGGCAATTCTACTATAGTTATAATAAGGAACCCCCCCAAACAAATAGTAGATCTGCGGCAGGTTCCCGACCCAGAAAATGCCCGTTTCTTGGCTGCCTTCGGGGCTCCGAAGGCTCCGGCTGTGGAGCGGTCAAACACCGCCCTCAGAGCCTTCGCTTCAAAGGGCAGCTGGCTCAGCTTCGCAGCCAAGTAAGTAGACTAGTAGGGGTTTAGGGTTTAGTTGTTTAGGTAGATTAGTAGAGGAGCCGCGTTTTGTTTCATCTGCAGTATCATCTGTATGCAGATACACCTCAGACTGTAGGGAGGAAGTATATGTTGTAGTAAACTGACACTCGCTGTCTCGAGTGGAAGAACCTAAAACAGACATGCATGCATACATACACACACATACATACATACATGCATACATGCATACGTGCATACATGCATACTTACACACACGCAGGGTAGAAAGACAAAGGCCAATCAGCTGTCCGATTGAGAGCACGGAGGCACTTGCCAACACCGCTTCTTTCTCGTTGCTCATGCTGTTGTGGCTTTTCAAAGCAATGGGACTTCCTCTGACGAGTCATGATTCTTCCTGACAGCGCGAAGGCTCTGTAAACTCGTCTGTCTGGAAAATGCGGGTCTTCCTGGATATTCTGTTCGGCACGCTGCTCTTTTGTTGAGCTCCAGTTCATCCGCGCATTTTGCCCAGAATCCAGGCCAGCCCTCCGAGTGCATCACGGTTGGAGGCGAATTCGACTCGCTGCGAAGAAGATGAATCAAGCGGCTAGTTTTCAGACTGGCAGCGCACCAGTACTACTGTTGTTACCACTACTACTCCTACTACGACTACGACTACTACTACTGCTACCACTACTACTACTCCTGCTAATACTACTACTACTACTACTACTACTACTACTACTACTACTACTACTACTACTACTACTACTACTACTACTACTACCACCAGTACAGTACTACTCCTGCTGCTGCTACTACTACCACCTCAACCACCACCACTAGCATCACCACTGCTCTCCCACTGCCACTGGCACTAGCACTGCTGTCCTTAGTTCTCTGACTCTCGCGATTCTGGCCTCGATGACTTCTCTTGCGTCTTCCAGTACATGGTTATGCTTGCACCTCAACCACGACTGCTACTACTGCTACTACTGCCGCTACTGCTATTGCTACTGCTACAGCAACCGCGCGACCGCGACCGTGACCGCTATTGCTACTGCTACTACTAACTACTACAAACACGACTACTCCAACACTCCCACTCGCACTCCCACTCCTGCTGCTCTCCTACTCCAACTACTCTCCTGATCCTACTCTCCAACTCCTACTCCTACTCCTCCTGCTACTCCTACTCCTCTGCCTCCTCCTATTGCTGCTGCCCCTCCTCCTACTACGACCACGACGACTACCACTGCTGCTGCTCCTCCTCCTACTGCTACTACGACCACGACCACTACCACTGCAGCTGCTACTGCTACTACTACAAACACGACTCCTACTACTACTACTACCACCACCACTACCACTACCACTACCACTACCACTATCACTACAGCTACCACTACCACTACTACTAATACTACTACACCTACTACTACTGCTACTACTACTACTACTACTACTGCTACTACTCTACTACTACGACGACTGCTACTACTGCTACTGCTACTGCTACTGCTACTGCTACTGCTACTGCTACTGCTACTGCTACTGCTACTGCTACTGCTACTGCTACTGCTACTGCTACTGCTACTGCTACTGCTACTGCTACTGCTACTCTACTGCTGCTGCTGCTGCTACTGCTACTGCTACTGCTACTGCTACTGCTACTGCTACTGCTACTACTACTACTACTGCTACTACTACTACTACTACTACTACTACTGCTACTGCTACTACTACTACTACTACTACTACTACTACTACTACTACTACTACTACTACTAACTACTAACTACTAACTACTAACTACTAACTACTACTACTACTACTACGACTACTACTACTACTACTACTACTACTACTACTACTACTACTGCGACTACTACTCCTACTACTACTACTGCTACTACTACTACTACTGCTACTACTACTACTACTACTACTGCTACTACTACTTTTACTACTACGACTACGACTACGACTACAACTACAACTACCACCACTACTACTACTACTACTACTACTACTACTACTACTACTACTACTACCACTACTACTACTACTACTACTACTACCACGACGACCAACCACCTGCCTGCTACCCGCCCCGAACCCCCCCTTCCGCTACCCCGACCACCCTACTCCTACTCCTGCTCCTGCTCCTGCTCCTACTGCTACTGCTACAACTACTGCCACTGCCACTGCCACTGCTACTGCTACTGCTACTTCTTCTCCTACTACTGATCCTCCTCCTGCTGCAGCTGCGTTTACTTCTACACTGCTGTTGCCATCATGGCGGTGATTCTCTCGCTAACACCGGAACTACAAATACCATTGCTGCCTCTGCTGCTGCTGCTGCTGCAGCAGCTGCAGCAACGACGACGATTACCGCAACTAACTAGTTTTCTATCACTTGATTATCTACTCGTTTGCACTGGAGCAGGCGGATCTTTGCAGCGAGTTCGATTCTTGGTCGGACAGCTGTATGTCGATCCTTGGTCGCGAAGCATCTCTGCCGGAACAGGAAGAATGGCTGTAGCAACTGCAACGCTCGTAAGACCGGGAAAGAACCACCCTGGGCCTAGTATGGGGCGATGCAGGGCTTCTGCTTCTTCCCTGACATTCGAAGACGACTTCCGACTCTTGCAGCTCTGGCACTGGGTGACTGTGGAGAGTACCTTCAGGGCTCGGCCTACCCACAAACCCGAAGGAGGCTTTCGTCCGAATAGTCACTAATGCCACTTCCACATAGTCCCTCCCGGAGCTCTTGCCTGTCACTCCAAAACCGTGTAAGTTGTGCTCCGACTCACCTGGGCCAGTTCAGGAGCTTGCAGGAATAGCAAGGGTCCTCTCCGCAGGACACGTTCGCTGCCTCTGGAACGGATTGAGAATCCAAAAACTCATGGTTGCAGCTTTAGCCTTTCTGTTCAGCAGCCTCCAAAGTCCAGCGCCGGGTGCCATCCAAAGCCTTGAGCTGCATGGAAATTGGCATGACTACATGTCTTGTCGAAGACCGACGTTTGTGGTCGGACTACCATGCAACAGCACAAGTTGAGCACAAACCTCTGGAAGCGCACCAGTCTGTTCAAGCCATGTAGGACAAAACGTACGGCTTAGATAGTTCCGACTTGAGTGGTCCATGAAAGCATCATCATCTGCTGCCGAATACTACAGCCGAAGGGCTGTGGTAGACGCAGGAAAGCCCTGCAGCAGCAGCACTTGCACCCGTCAGTCGACATGAAATGAGATCGCACGCAACACATGCTGTAACATGAGTTTTGGGGGGCATTTCTGAGCATGTCCTCCATGGAGTCTGCGCGCCACGGGCTGCCACGGACCATCAGCGAGGCAGATCGAGTGCTGTCGATCGCCTCAATGACGAAAGGCTCGTGTCAGAGTTGCGACGCACCACGACAAAAAGCTCATTGAAACGTAACACATAAAAGAAAGCAAGAAATAAAAGTACCGGTCTGGTACTAGAACAAGTAGCAGTTTTGGTACTCGTTCTAGAACTGGTACTGGTACCAGTACCAGTGCAGTCAGTTCGAGTACACTGGTACTGGTAGACGTAGAAGAAGAAGTAGTAGTAGCAGTAGTAGCAGTAGTAGCAGTAGTAGCAGTAGTAGCAGTAGTAGCAGTAGTAGCAGTAGTAGCAGTAGTAGCAGTAGTAGCAGTAGTAGCAGTAGTAGCAGTAGTAGCAGTAGTAGCAGTGGTAGCAGTAGTAGCAGTAGTAGCAGTGGTAGCAGTAGTAGCAGCAGAAGAAGTAGCAGTAGCAGTAGCAGTAGCAGTAGCAGTAGCAGTAGCAGTAGCAGTAGCAGTAGCAGTAGCAGTAGCAGTAGCAGTAGCAGTAGCAGTAGCAGTAGCAGTAGCAGTAGCAGTAGCAGTAGCAGTAGCAGTAGCAGTAGTAGTAGTAGTAGTAGTAGTAGTAGTAGTAGTAGTAGTAGTAGTAGTAGTAGTAGTAGTAGTAGTAGTAGTAGTAGTCCTGCTACTAGTCCTAGACTGTGTCGGCTGTCGCCGTTGTAGCAGTCGTACGGGTAGGAGGAGGATAAGGAGCAGGAGGAGGAAGAAGTGGCAGCAGCTTTGTAGTGGTGGTACTGGGAGTAGGAGAGTGAGACT